GTGCTATAGTACAACCTTATAAGGCCTTAACTTTATTTTATTATTTTTTTTTAAATAATAAATTTTATTTTTATATTCCCCCATACAATTGCAAACGCCCCATTCTGACCCCAATCCTTCCCCTCCCCCCCCCCCCCCCCCAAAAAGTGTCTCTGGTTCATAGTTTTTTGTTGATTTTGATTTTCACTTTCTTATATTCATTTTCCTGGTCCCTTATTTAAGTTTTCTAGATTCCTGCTATGAGTGAGACCATCCGGTATTTTTCTTTTTCTTTTTGGCTTATTTCGCTGAGCATGATCCCTTCCAGCGCCATCCATGTTGCTGCAAATTGCATGTGTTTATCTTTTTTGAATGCTGAGTAATATTCCATGGTATATATGTACCACATCTTCTTGATCCAGTCATCTATTTTTGGGCATTTGGGTTGTTTCCAAAGCTTAGCTATTGTAAACAGTGCTATAAGGCCTTAACTTTAAAGCATTGTGCATACTAACATAGATTTTAAATGCATACAGAGTTTAGTACCTGCTAGAAGTGATCATAGGGAGTCCCAAGTTTGAGGCATTATTATGGATTTTCCAGGAATGGAACAAATTTTTTTGAATGTTTTCTAGAAATCAGGTACTAGGCTAGATGTTTGATTTTTCATAATAAGTCTGACAGAACCCCTGTTTTACTTTCTTATGTTTGGAGACAGGCAATAGATATGTAAACCAATATGTTTTTTAAAAGGTATTTAGAAGGCTATGAAGAAAATGAAACAAGGGAATATGTTAAATAGGAACTGGAATGAGAACAACTATAGACCTTTCAGAGGAAGTAACATTGTAGCTACGATGGGAATGGTGAGCAGAAGTCATCTCAGTGAGGACTTCTGGGGAAAAAAAATCTTAGGAGAGGAAACAGGAAGTACACAGACCTAAGACCTCAATGAGCTTGGTGTGTTCACGGAACAAAATTCAAGTCCTTGTCACTAGAGTCTTGGTGACACACACAGACTGGAATAGGAGATGATGTGTCAGAGCTAAACAGAGGTCAGAACACTTTAGGCCTATGAGCCATGATTAGGGCTGTGCATTTTACTCTAGGAATCATGAGACTCAGAAGGTTATAAATAAAGAAGAACCTGCCCTGAAAGCTCTTCTAGTTTTCTGTGTGCACACTCAATTTTAAAGGAGGCAAAAGATTGAGAACAGTGAGGACAGTATAGGACGTCTGGGAGAGAGATGATAGCAGCTTGGACAAGGCCCTAAGAATGGAAGTGAAAAGTAGACAGAATCAGTATCTATTGGTGGTAGAAACTATAAAACTTACTGATGGGTTGGATGGCTTGCGGGATAATAAATGAAAGGCAAGAATTAAGAGTGATTTCTAAGAATTTGTCTGAAGCACCTGGGTGAATGTTAATTTCCAGATGTGGAATCATAAAGGGATGTGTTTGGGAGAAAACAAAAGGGTCTATTTCAGTTATATGATTAGATAAGTCTTTAACATCCAAGAGGAGATGCCAAATAGGAACTTAGAGATGTGAGCCCATAGGCAAAGGAAATATTCAAGGTTTATCTTTGTTGAATCTCCCCTATGACATCACCTTCTTTTTGAAACTTTCCTTCAAACTCAGTGCCTTACCATGACTTTTTATCCTACAACTCATAACAATGTTATCTCAGCTTGGTTTGGCTAAAGCTGGGACATTTCTGCTTAATTTTTCTCTCTGTGCCCTCCCGATTTAAACTTCTTGTTTTATGATAACCCCTGTAGATCTCTGTTCTATGCTTTCCGATACAAGCATTAGTTGTTATCCAATTTGTTATATTTGTTCTAATGTTTGACTGACTTATTGGAACTGTTTTAATATTAATAGAGCTTTCTTTTACAAACTTAACTATTTTCCAGAGAGGAAGTAAGCTCTAATACTAGATGTTCTGACTTGTCAGTGAAAGTACATCATAGTAAATAAGAATTTGGCATTTCTGAATTCATTCCAGATTTAAAAGACAGTGGATTTAGAATCCCAATTGATAACAATTATACATACATAGAGTGGTTAAGTGTTTTCTCTATCTCGTGCCTAAATCTTTCTTGTAATAAAGATACCGTTTCAATGCTATCATTTTATTTGTATTTCCTAATGATTTTAAATAAATTCTAATCAGAAAAGAATTTTTTCTTAATCTAGTTAATATCTTTAATATATCATAAATGTATGTAACTCATTCTTAATAAGTCATTAATAGTGAATAACTTCATCTTTAATAATATTTTAATGTTTATCCAATTGAACACATATAGGTATCTATAGAACTGGTGTTTTCAAGGGTCAGTCAAAGAGGATGCCAGTCAGCAAGCCTCCTTTGGCAACTTTGCATAATTTGGAATAACTTTAGTTTGGCTCTTTAGGAATTTTTCTTAGTCATGTTTTTAAAAAGTTAATTTTAGATTGAACATTTTGTGACTTTCGTATACCTCTACTCTTACCTATCTGTGAAGTCTTTATTAATGTGAAAAAAAGTAGACTATAGGAAATGAATGAATAAATGTACTTAAATTCACTAAATTTTGAACTCCTTAGATGTAGATTAATATTATTTTATGTGGATGAGTTGTTGATTTATAGCACTGAACTCTATAAATACAATATGTACAAAATGGGGGGAAGGTAGGTAATATCCCATTGAGAATTTCTAGCCTAATATATGAATGAGCTTGGCAAATAAGGATCAACAATATTTTTCTTAATGGGAGTATCACTGAATAAGCAATGGATAGAATTTCTTATAGGAAATTACACTCCATTCAAAAATATTCCAACATGAATATCTTAGACATAGCAAGCTGTCATTATATCTCTCTGGTAACAGACTAGTAATCCAATATGGTCTCTTTTATAATAGAACTTTGGCAAGACCTAGAGAAATTACTCTGTGTCACATTAAGTGTTTGTGCTTGTCTGGAATAAACAAGAAACAGAGTTTGTAAAAGTAGATGTATTTTTGGTGTATTATTTTTAAAATACAAAAAATTTTCTTCAAAAATTACAATATTGACAAGCAAAATCATTCTTGTTTTTGAAAGAATAATACAAATTTCTGAAAGGGAAATATAGTAAGTATTTTCATGCAGTATGACCTTAGGCTAAGAAAAATTAATTTTTCTTTAAGTGTAATTAATTTTAAATTATTATTTATCATTATTACTTATAATATTATTGTTTTATTATTTTTATCAAAGAAGAAAACTTCATGAAATGTAAAATATCTGTAATTTTTGACCTAGACTTTAAATTACTGAAAAATATATTTAATTTTAATGTCTGTTTCATTTGTGGTATATAAATGCAATAAGTTGATTATTTTGGGAAACTGTGTACCACATGTTGTTGCATTGCCTTTTGAGCATTAGCTCATCTTTAGTATTCTGCGAAGCATTTACTATGATTACTTTACTGTAGCCTTGACAAACTAGAAAGAAAATACAAGTGAAGAAGTTATCTCTGATAGGGAAGGAAAGATTTAATAAAAGATAGGAGTTTATATTGAGACCCTGAAGGATGGAAAGGATCAGAACTTATGAATGGGTTGGGTTTGGATGGGATTGAAAATCAGTTTAGTTGAAAAAATATGAGCATTGGCAGAGAGGAGGAGTTGTAATTGCAAAGAACAAGGAATAAAATAATAGTTTTTTTGTTTATTTATTTTTTTTTGCTTGACTCAATATTTACTAGGGAAGAGATGGATAGAAAACTGGCTAGGAAGTTCAGGACTTAAACTATGAATGCCTTGAATATGAGACCAAGGAGTTGTACAATGGAGACACCAAAGAAGAGAGGAGATAGGCATGTCCAGTAGTTTTGCTGCAAGCATCTTCTCTGCAAACAATCTTGATGCTTAATTAACTGGCTATAGGCTATTTCCTCATAAAAGACAAAGAAAAAATAAAAGCAGGACATTCAAAATGACTAATGAAACATAATTCATGGGCAAATACTAGAGAGTATTGAACTGGTAATATAAAGTTGAGAGTAAATAACTGGTTTTCTATTGTGGAAGCACTTGTGCTCCAAGTATTTCCTTCATTCCTTGTCTTGTACTTTTTCTCACTAATGTTCTCACTAGATGTTTCTCTCTAATCAACCTTATGGTTATGAAGTTAAAAAGTGTAAAGCTAACCTCATTACTAGAAAATAATAACATGTCCATTTGTAAAGAGTTGACTTCTTGTTTCCTTAATGGAGAAATGAAGCCAAACAGCCAGTTAGTTCTATTCTCTTTTACAGCAAAATTTCCTTATAGCCAGTTGGTTGTACTGTAGAACTGCTTGCTGCTAAGATGCTTGCCATGAAACTACCTAGAACTGATGTGTCCTTAGAACTCCGCACATGAGTGTTCCTTTGGCAGTAGTTTAGGATGAATTAAAGAGAAAGTCGTAGAGATAAGGGAATGAGTGATAATGTGAGTGAAACTGTTTTGGTGACAGTTGAAGAGAGCCAGAACTGAGGTGGTGGTCATAGGAAGACCAAAGAGTCATATGGTACTGTCTTAGACCAGTGTTTGAAACAAGACTGAGGTAGAAGGAGGCTTCCCCTGCTACTTAGAAAGAATTTGCTAATTTTATTTTCCATAGGAATGAAAAATAAAGCTAAAGTCTAGTTATTATATTTACTATCAGTCTTAAATTGATAATAGAAAATGAGTATTAGAAACTCTTTTGCAAGAGTTTGATAAAAATTCTTTGGGAAATACGCATTTACTATTATCAGGGTTCATTGAAGTACTCCGTACTTCTCTCCAGCAACAAAACCAGATGTACTATTTCTTTCTTTTATTACTCTCTACTGTTTGCCAGACTGTAACTGTAATTATTTCTAAGATTCTTCTCATTGGACCATCGTATTGAGTGAGTATCACAACATAGTAATATAACCAACTAGATCTTTGTACCTAGATTTTTGCTTTGCCATCTTTGGTTTTCCTATGATAGTTCTTTGTTTTCTCCCATAGGAAGATGTTTCCCCGGGGCCTTCCTGAGGAATACACCATAACAGCCATGTTTCGTGTACGAAGAAGCACCAAAAGGGAACGGTGGTTTCTGTGGCAGATTTTAAACCAGAAGAATATGCCACAAGTAAGGAACCATGAAAACTGTGTTGATTAGTTTTCTTTTCTGTGCTTAGGACCTTTGAATGTTGGAACTACTCTCAACACCAGAGGCAGATTTAATGTCCGAATACTCTCTTTTGAAGTAGCCATCAACATGGAAGTGCTACAATGAGGTTGAAATGACTGTTTTGAGATCTGTAATATGAGAGCCTGGTGGGTTAGCCAAGATTTGGTTTTAGTTTTATTTTGACTACTAAATTCTTACTTTGTCTAAAAATGCTCAAACCTCCATCACAACTACCTCATTGACCCTAATTCCATGTCACTGAGAACTTCTTTATCTCTTACCATCTCTCTATTATGTATTATTTTTAAAGTTATTCATTTTTCCATCTGAATCCTTAGTAAATGAAAAGGTAAAGTAATCCATCAGTAAAAATTTATTCAACAGATGTTATAGACAAAGAAAAGACAGCTTCCCCAAACTAGAACAAAGGGAGAGCAGGCATCTGGGAATACTTGTGAAGGACATGGCATTTGGCAGAAAAAAGGGTGGGTAGTATTTCAGTAAGAGGAAAACCTGTAAGGGTAATTATTGGCACCATACGTTTGTGTTAATTTCTGTACATATCCACTGAGATACTTCTCCTATAACTGGTCTTTTAACCTGATGATTTAGTCACAACAGGTTATAATGGTAAAATGAATTGCGCTCAGAGTATGTCCACAATGAAATGCATTTTCTCTGTACCATACAGATCACCAAAAGGCTAGAGAATTTGATCTCAGTTTCCATGCTAAGAGAAGTGATCATATTTTTATTTGTTTTAAAATAGTAACACTGAATTCTTGAATTACTCATGCAGAATTATACATGTATATATTTTTAGACATATACAGTTAGATACATACATACACATTCTTACATGTTCTCTCAAGAAAGATGCATATTATATTTACCAGAATACTACATATCTAAACCATTTTTGTAGCTGGATATATTATGTCATTTAGGTTAACAAATCTGTTGAACATAAGTTTCATCTAAACATTTCACTAAAGTGCCTCAGTTATAAGAAATTATACTAATGTGAGCCTTGAGTTTTTATTTCATGCTTTAATAATTTTGAACTCTGATTTTAAAACATTTAAAGATAATTTTCCTTTTTTCAGGTTTCTATCGTAGTTGATGGTGGAAAGAAGGTGGTGGAATTTATGTTTCAAGCTGCTGAGGGTGATGTGTTGAACTACATTTTTAAAAATCGAGAACTCCGTTCTTTGTTTGATCGTCAGTGGCATAAACTTGGCATTGGTGTACAATCCCGGAGCATTTCACTCTATATGGATTGTAATTTAATTGCAAGCCGGCATACCGATAAACGGGACACTGTGGACTTTCATGGAAGGACTGTTATTGCGGCACGAGCTTCAGATGGCAAGCCTGTGGATGTGAGTTGTGATATTGGTTATGAAAGAGAACTAGTAAAAATTTAGAATTCAAACAAAATATCTTTTTTAAAACTTCTGCTTTTAATTACTGTATAATGCAGTCCCTTCTCAACACTGTATAAATTAGTTTGCCATCAGATGTGTGAAGGATAGCTCTGTATTTCCAATTGTATTTTCACAAATAGTATCTTCTACCTGTTTTCACCCATTTTCTCCAGCCCATAAATTAAAAAAATAAGGCTATTAAAATTAAATCTTAATAAAAATTGAAATTGTGATACAAAAAGTAAGCTTGATTTAAGTTCATGTGTTTTGAATAGAAAGAACTAGAAAAAGATGAACTTCAAATTAAATGGTTCCAGATTATATGGTGTTTTTATTCAAGAACAATAGACTATTTATTCATCCTCAGAATCATAATTGTTTTGTATTGCAGATTATTTTTCATAAGCTATGTAATGGTTTTTCAGGGTTGTGTTGGACTGAAACACAAGCATTAATTGTATCAGTAGATCATTTGGATGAGAACAATTAGCCAATAAAACCCTTTCAGATGAAAAGGTCCTTTCAAAATTGCATGTGGTCTTCAGATGGTATAGATTTTTATAGCTTTTCCTAGAGAAGAAGGCCTACAATCTTTAAAAGAGTGATATATATCTAAATTTGATGATTGCACATTTTCTTGTGGGTTGAGTGATGGAAAATCCATAGAAATAATCTGAATGTAGGTCACCAATAAGAATTACTAATGTTGTTAACACATTAGTTAGCACATTTTAATGGTTAACACATTTTAATGGTTCAGTTTTAGTCTGAAAATACAATTCAGTGCAAACACATATTTGGCCAAACTTTCATCAGAAGAGAGGGATATTCAACATACTATTTTTAAACTGTCTTCTCTTAGAGACAGTGACCAAAGCAGTGAGAATGTCATAACTAGGGCTAGTGTGAAGCAAGTTGTGCAGATGAAACATCATGGACTCGTAGTAAGTGAGCTGCTCAGGGATCAAAAAGACGGGGTTGTAAATCCCACCTCACCTGCTTTACTGTTCGGATTTGTTAATTTATCGTTGATTTATCACAGTTTCCATGTCCTCAATTATTAGATAGCATTGGTAGAGTTACTAATTATAAGTGTATAGAGTATGTGCCATAGTGCCTAGTACATGGTCAGCCCCTGTAGATTCATTTATTTTTTTCAGGGATAGACACATCTTTCAACCCTGGCACAAGAGAGTGGAAAACAAACAAACAAAAATAAAACTGCTGCTCTTATTTTCAAAGGTCTTGAAGACTCATGGAAGGATGAAAGTCTATGTCAGTAAATGGTGGCTGCTAATAATAATAACAACATTAACTAACAACATTAGTACTACATAGACATTTCAGAAAAATGTCTCTCAAGGCAAGGAAGGATGTGGAAAGCAGCAAGTAGGACATCAGAGATGAACTTCCAGTGGTCAGTGGCATATAGGCAAATAGGAAGTTGACTTCTGGGAATTTTAGCCAACAGTGGTGAGGGGTACAGGAGTCCCTACTGCAAGTACAATAGTTTGGGACTAGAAATTTGTGTATCATAGTATTTGTGAGAGCAGAGTTGGTTATGGTTCCAGAGGAACTGAAAGAACCAAAGAGCACACTGAGATACGTTCATAACTGTTGGGGGAGACAGTGCAACGAGAGAAGCAAGTTGTTGCAAGAATGGGGCCAGAGCTCTGAGCTCACCTCTGAAGATTGAGTGTTGTGTCTTGTGACTCATTATCTTCTCATCAAGGAAAGAATTAATCCCAGAATCTGAGGCTGAGGAGTGTCAGGCGCATCCTTATAAAAAGACAAAATATGAAAATTACAGTGTGACAGTGGTTATATAGTTGAATATGGATTCTTAGTTCATTTGAGGATAAACTTAAAGGAATATCAAAATGATGCAGGTTTTTAAAGAATATAATCACTCTTTAAGTTAAAGTTACTAAAACTTTAAGTGGATTAATTTTTCATCTTCACACAAACTCTGTGATTCAGAAGATCTATTGTAATATAAAAATGTTTTATGTTTTTATTTTTTATTTATTTACTTTCTTACATCTTTGTTAATTTTTGGATGGTATTTGATTTCTCCCCTTTGATGTAGTCCCTGTAGTTCTCCCAGCAGCATAGCACATATGCTCCATCAACATAGTCCCTGTGCTCTTCCCTCCCCTGTTTTGACCCCTCTGCTCTCTCTCCCCATGCTTTATGTCTTTATGGTCAATTTCCAAGTTTTGTCTTTTTTATTTCCCTGACACTTTGTTTGGTTTCTCTATATTCCACTTATAAATGAAACCACCTGGTATTTATCTTTTTTTCCCCTGACTTATTTTGCTTGGCATAATCCCTTCCAGCTCCATCTATGTTGCTGCAAATAGCATGAGTTTATCTTTTTTGATTGCTGAGTAGTATTCCACTGTGTATATATATCATCTGTTTTAGGGCCTTTGGCTGTTTCCATGTCTTAGATATTGTAAATAGTGCTGCAATAAAGATAGCAGTACAGGTTTCCTTTGGAATTACTGTTTTTGTGTTCTTTGGGTAGATTCCTTGGATTGGAATGGCTGGATCAAATGGTAGATCTATTTTTAGTGTTATGAGGAGCCTCCACACAGCTTTCCATAGTGGCTGGACCAATTTACATTCTACATTCCCACCAGTAGTGTAAGAGGATTTTTTTTTTCCCACCACATCTTCACCAGCTTTTGTTACTTATTTTTTTTTAACATGGGCATTCTCACAGGTTTGAGGTAACATCTCATTGTGGTTTTGATTTGCACTTCACTGATAATAAGTGATAAACACTTTCATATTTGCTGACCATTTGCATTTCTTTGGAAATGTATCTTTTTACTTCTACCTACTTTTTGATTGGGTTGTTAATTTTTTGTTGTCGTTGAGTTCACAATGTTTTTAAAATATTCTACTGATTGAGTTTTATTTTACTTATACTACTCAAGTGCTTTTGTGAGAAAGTGATGACAAAACTGATATAAAGGATTTTTTAAGCAAACAAATCCTTTAACAAGAGTCAGTACAGATTTAGCCATAAAGTTTCTTCTAAAGTGCTATGTCAATGAAAAATTCTAAAATAAATAATGAGTAGAAAAACCATGACTAAAGCTAGGCTGATGGAGTTTATAATCGTGTATATTGATTCTGTTGTAATCTGTCAAAAACTGATAATCTTTCTTCAGTAAAGTAAAATAATTCATATGAAGAGACTATGACTATAGATAGTATATAGCATGATTCCAATATTTATTGGCTATTTTGATGACAGTGATGATGATAAACTAAATTTACTTGAAAAGTAAATTGGAGTCTCCATTCTATATTCTATTTAATAAGTGTATAACTACCTCATATTTCATTACAATATGTAAAAAAGCAAATATAAACTTTATAAATAAAAGTTAACTTCAATAATTTTGCAAAATGTTATAGAAAAGGAATCATTGTATCTTTTACCTCAGAATTTTGCATTTATTGAAGATAGAATGTGTGAGTGGACCAGGGAAAAGGGAGGGTTAAGGTTGTTCAGGACCTATGTTATAAACCAAACAATCATACAATTAATTGATAATTAAATTATTAAATTTGTAATCACAAGCTGATTTAAAATAGCATATATCATATTGAAATTCTATCAATAGTTTGCACTATTTACTCTCTCTTACATGACTGTTTGATGTTTCATTGAACAGCGTGATAGTACTTTCATCGAAGTACTTTTAATTTCATGTCCAAATGCCAAACTACATACCTCTGCTGAGCAAATAGCAGGAATCATTTATTTTTGTGAAAAGATTGTGAGCCTTTCTTAGGTTTATGTCTTTATAATATAAATCGCATAGGTATTAGACAGAATCCATTAATATAGAAAAAAGCAAAATACTTTTTTTTTCTTATTGAAACATATTCATCTATTTCAGTGTCTCAAGTAGGAAGTCTGGAGCTATAGATAAAACATCTTTTCCATCATGTGCTCATACCTTTTATTTTACTTTTTTTCTAGAATTTTTTACTTAGAAATATTACTCTTATTTTAGTTTGAAACAACTATCCAAGGTTTTCAATTGCTTTCACTACCTGATTTCTTTTATATATAGATCTATCTCAATACTGAATCAATATCTAGTTCCCAAAAGGTCCATAAAATAGTGAATCCTAAAACAAAGAAAATGCATTAAAGATATATACAAGGAATTTTTTATATTAACTTCTTTTTTCTTTCTAGTTCATTACCATAGTTCTTAAGTGACTAAATGTGCTTCTCAAAAAAGCTAATCAGGTGTCTTTTATTACTCTTTTTTTAATAGATTGAACTTCACCAACTTAAAATCTACTGTAACTCAAACTCCATAGCTCAGGAGACATGCTGTGAAATATCAGATACCAAGGTAAGTTAATTTTCATGGCTTATGAGGATGTAAAACACCAATTACCTTTAATTGCCTGGTGTATAGGGTCCAAATGTAGGGCAGCAATGAATATCTTCTGTTGAAGCCACGTGGTTAATTTGTTCGAAAAAAGTATGTTCCCATAGTTTCTTTTCACAGGAACACTTAATCCCAGTATTTTGTCCTGAACTTCAGGGATGAATATCCCCACTTTGGACCCAACATAAATAAAAGAGATTGCATCCTGTTCTCCCTAAACTATGTTCCAACAGAATCATTATCATTTTCTAGTAATAGGAGTTATAAATCTATGAATCACACCTCATTATAACTCATTTTGCTCTTGTACCCTGTTTTCCATCCTTTATAGTTTTCCTTTGTGATGGATTTTTCTTCTGTGTCTTCTTTTCCCTGTTACTGCCAAAGCTCACTTAATTTCCTGCCTGGATTGTTGCACTGTTGCGCTATGGTGCCAACTGCCTTTGCTATATTGCTAGTCCTTTCTTTCCCCAACATAACTAGAATAAGTCTCTGAATCATTGATTTGTATATCCATTTATTTACTTTTTCACTAAACATTTATTATTTAAAAACATTGTTCTTCTGATTCCTATGCTAAGGAACAAAGCTAACAAACATGAACAAGGCATATTCATGTTCTCTATTCTTTTTCTTAAAACCTTTGGTGACTCTCTTGGCACAAATTTTAATCGAGTTCTTTTAGCCTCTTTCTTAATATTTACAACCTAACTGTACAACTGTTAGTTTCTTATATCTATCTTCCATTAAAAGAAAATACTGGATTTTGTATCTCCCACTATAGTGTAGCAGTGATGGGTCCCATTTAGATAAGATTGCATTTGAAAGAGTTCCCAGACCCAATTCCGGCATGAGTGTGTGTGGAGACTTTCCCACACCAACAAGCAATTTTGACACTTATCTACCCAGAGAGAGTATCAGGCTCTATAGGATAAGGGCTCGGTCTCTCAAGACCCCCCTCTGGTTCAAATGCCAGTTAGAAACCTAGAATATTACTTGTGTTTCTGACCTACAGGCTATAAATCAGAGGTTTGCACAGTCCTTCCTGAGGTTTGGTTATTTTGCTAGAGTGGATCACAGTATCCCATTTACTCACTAGATCACCCACTTATTACAAAAGATATTATTCAGGAATAGCCAGATGGAAGAAATGCATATGGTTAGGTGTGGGGGAAGGGTGTAGAGCTTCCATCCCTTCATCAGGGGTGCTCGTTGTCCCAAATCACTAGATATTTACCAAATCATAGGCTCACAAAACCCCATGCTGTTAGGTTTTTATGTAAGCTTCTTTACTTAGGCAGACCTGATTAAATAATTGATCATTGACAATTGAACTCTATCTCCAGCCTAGAGGTCTGGGGACTGAAAGTCCCAACCTTCTAATCTCTTTGTTGTTTTTCCTGGCAACCGGTTCCTCTTTGAGCCTTCCAAAAATCATCTCATTCACATAACAAGATACCTTTATCTCACTAAACACTTAGGAAATTCCAAGGATTTTGAGGGTGTGAACCAGGGACTCTGAATGAAGAATAAATATATATGAAAACTATATTTTGGTCTTCTGAATGTCCAAATATATATTTCTTATAAATCATAATATTGCAGTATTTGTTTTAAAAATTATTCAGCTATGTTTTAAATACTCTGAGGGGACTTTTACTTTTATACTCTCTTTTAATTACTTGTCCTGTATTTACAGAAGGCAGTCAAAACATTGTTTCTTAATTTGGCAACATATAAACTAATAAAAGAGATAGATGGGATAAAAATGAGTTTTAAAGGGGTTAACTCTAAAAAGTCATAAAAAACATGAAAAGTAGGACCTCCCTGGTGGTGCAAGGGGTTAAGACGCAGCATTAACTATGAAGCTATCTGCAGCCACTACAGCACGAGTTCAATCCCTGGCCAAGGAGGTGACCCATATGGTGCAGCAGATCTCTCCTGTCTTGCCCGCTGCTCCCCTCAGCAGTGTATTTCAGTAGATCTGCCTGTTCTGCTCCCCACTGTGTCTCTGGAGCATCCTTTCAACCCCCACATCTCTGGCCTCCATCCCAGCTTTGTATACATCAAATAAATAAATCTTTTTTTTAAAAAAAATAAAAAGTAAAATATGAAAATGCTATTATTGTTGTATGTTAGATTTACAGAAATTCTACTTAACATCAAAAAATTACATGAAAGTTTTATCAATAGTTAAGTAATTGGGCTTCCCTGGTGGTGCAGGGGTTAAAGTCTCAGAGCTATCAAGCTATCACCAGTCACTTCAGCCTGAATTAGATCCCTGGCCAGAGAGCTGACCCACATGGCACAGCAGACCCTTCCTGTCTCACTCACTGCTTCCCTCAGCAGTGTATTTCAGTACATCTGTCTGTTCTGCTCCCCACTCTGTCTCTGATAAATCATTTTACCCCCGACTCTCAGGCCTACACCCTCCCCCCACCGTTCTTGTATGCATAAATAAAAATAAATCTTAAAAAAATAGTTAAATGATTACTTTTATCATTCATCTTGGATAGTAGAATAATAGTGTGGCAAGTTGAGTGAAAAGGATACCTACATCTTTCAAAATTATGTGTTTTGTTTATCTAACTTGGTTTTATAAAACATTTCTTTAACCGAGTTTATGGCTCTCATTCCAAGTAAAGTAAAAGCCAGCCAAATCTCTTTCTATAAATATCCAAAAGGATAATTTAGAATGCCAGTCTCCAGACTGAAGAAATACCTAGACTTCCTGGCATCACACATTTAAAATAGTAAAGATGTTATTTCTCCAAAAGTTACTTTATACTAATTATGGTCTTTTGAAGTGCCATAATGATATCTTGACATATGTAAACACTATAGTCTTGACCAATGGTCACTATTCAATATCATCACATAATAGACATTTTCAACTCAAATACAAGAAAACGGTTTAAGAAAGTTTAGGTGATGGAGTGGTTTGATAATTAAATGCAGTGACATGACCTTAGTGAAAAAAGTTTTGAATCCTATTTTTATAAGAATATTTGGAAGTTGGGCCTCCCTGATGGCATAGCAGTTAAGTCTCAGTGCTATTAGGCTATTGCTGCTGCAGCCTCAGTTTGATCCAAGCCAGGGAACTAACCCACATAGTGTAGCAGACTTCTCCTATCTTACCCACTGCTCCTCTCAGCAGTGTATTTCAGTAGATATACCTATTCTACTTCCCACTTTGTCTCTGCTGAATCCTCTCACGCCTTTCTCCCACCACCTCTGGCCTATACCCCAGTTCTTGTAGGCATACATAAATAAAAAATAAATCTTAAGATTATTTGAAAGTTTCAGGAAGTAAATAATAAGGTAGGGATTCATCTGCAACTATAGGGGAAAAAAAAACAAAAGACTACTTATTTTCCTATTGATAGACATCTGCTAATAATCTAATAGAAAATAGAAACTTGGTATACTTTAAGTGTGCAAGAAAATTAATTATATAAAGGCCATTTCAGTGCATCTGCTTTAATTCTGAAACCAACTATAGTTTCTTGAAAAATGTTTTAAACTCAGAAAATTTTAATGTACTGGCTTAAAAATCTAATTTTGTCCTGCAGTTTCTTTTTTTTTTTTTTTTTTTTTATAGAGGCATGCTTTATTTATTTGCTGGTTTGTTTGTTTGTTTTGTTTATACATGCACTGGGTACAGTCAGAAGCGCGGGAGGGCGAGAGAATTCACCAGAGCCAGAGCGGGGAGCAGAGCAGGCAGAAGGACCGAAGCACACTGCTGAGGGGAGCAGCGGGCGGCAGGAGAGGTCTGCGCGCCATGTGGGACCCTCCTCTGGTGGCCGGGGAGCAGCCGGGGATCGAACCGGCGCCGCAGAGGCCGCGCGCAGCTTCGCAACCCAGCGCTCAACCGCTGCGCCACCGGGGAGGCCCCTGTCCTGCAGTTTCAGACATGTTTTTGTTATTGATATTTTTAGCATTTCAAAGGTGAAATTTCATCAAGATAATTTATAAATATACTTCTTTGCTTCTACTAATTACATTTTCTGTTTCTGAAGCAATAAAGTTACAAAGACAGAGAGACTGAAGAACAAATATGAGGAGAAAGAAATCACCAACAGTTGTTGAAAATAAATGAGAAATGTGATTAAAATTTTGAGGGCTAATTAACCGAATATGTGTCAAATCAAAACCAGAAGTTTATGAGGGGAGGAGTCCTTGCTTGTACATTTTATGTTCCCTGTAGGCACTTTATGGAAAGTGTGGACAGTTTTATAGTGAAGGCTGAGACATACTTTTAAAGTCATTTACATACCCAATTTAATATAGTGAATCAGTTCTCCAAAGCAAAGTTGTCTCGCTTGTCTGACTGGGAAGTGGTTGAAAAATCCTATCAGATCATTTAAGGTAAATGGCTTGTCTTGGTGATAGTCCTGTTTCATTCTAATGTGACTTTTGGACTTGTGAATTTAGAAATACTAAAGCAAGTAGTCATTAAATCTGGAGAACAGGTGTGCTACAACTAGTGGTGAAGACAAAAAATGAGTTGCAGTATTTCTGGATGCTATTTTTTTTAATAGTTTTTATTGTTGTTCTCAAAGGCATTAGAGCATTACCCATTTTTCAAAATAATTTTTGTTACAAAAGTTATATATGTCTATTTTGGAAAATACAACCAAATGCAAAGAAAATAAATATCGACCAGGATCTCACTATAGTAATTAACCACTGACAGTCTTAGTTTTGTATCCTGACATCATTTTTCATGCATATCTAATTTGTAGTATACAAAGTAACATGTGAACACTTTCCCCTAAATTGCAAATTTAGAGTTATGAAATTACAAATTCATGAAATTGCAAATTCAGAGTTACAAACCAGGCTCAGGAGCTTGGCAAATGATGCTGAGAATAAAGGATGTATTTATCCTCTTCAGATTCTCCATCTGGATTTATTTTTTGAGAGAAAAAATGCATTGATTTATAACCACATTTTATTTCATCTTGTCCAGCATATTCTGAACCTACTGGATAAGTGCAAATTTATTGCCTGTCTGTTACAGTGGAGGCTTTCAAATAACTTTATTTATTTATTTTTTTTGGTAAAGATTATTTATTTATTTATACAAGCACTGGTTACAGTCAGAAGCGCAGGGGGATGAGAGAATTCACCAGAGATAGAGCAGGGAACAGAACAGGCAGACAGACGAAGTACACTGCTGAGGGGAGCAGTGGGCGGCAGGAGAGGTCTGCGCGCCATGTGGGACCCTTGCCAGCAGCTGGGGATCGAACCGGTGCTGCAGAGGCTGTGGGCAGCTTCCCAGCCCAGCGCTCACCTGCTGCACCACCGGGGAGGCCCTTCAAATAACTTTAAAGGACAACTGACTGTTATAAAATATACTTTGACTAAATATATACGATCTTAGAGTCTAAACAGTATTTACTAGTTTATATACCTTTGCAATCATCTTGTTGAAGTACATGATATTTTAAAAGTTCAAATCACATGCATTTATTTTACATTTTGTTTATAAAACACTTGCTGGTGCATTTACAGAAATTATTTTATTGTGACAATGCAATTATTTTAACTATTTTATATTACTATACTTTTTTGCAAGTCAACATAATAGTTTTACAATTTCTCACAAAAACCAACATGTTAATGCATTTCTAGGGATTTGTTAGTGTAGTAAAAGAATAAAAGGGGTTCTAGTTAAAGAGCAAAGATATGATAAATTTTCACATGCTGTGTCAATCGTTGGTTAATTAGAAGCAGCTTTTTGCAGGTAACCCTGGTCTTCCCTAGTTTTGTAAGAGATATTGTTTGGAACTTCAAAATGTTTGAAATTTACCACATTTCCTAAATCCTTTTTTTTGGATTTTAGTGCCCACAGCAGACTGACTTTGGAAGTACCATATCATCATCATCAGTACCAGCTCATGCCAATAAAATGCCTGCATATCTGCCAGCAAAGCAGGAATTGAAGGGCCAGTGCCAGTGCATTTCGAATAAGGTGTGCTAGTTTTATTCAATATCCATCAAAAGTCACCCTTCGTAGTGAACCACACCCCTTGAATGCAGGTGTGATGCTCAGAATTTGTCTTCCCCTTTAGTGCTAGTTGTATAAAATGCTGCAACCACTCAGTCACTGGGGTGGGTTAAAAGAAGGGGGTTATCAGGATTTTATCAGGATTGTTCTGAATCCTTATCTTCCAGGACTTGAATGAGAATGACTAGAAAGGTGAAGGGAGGAACCACCTGTATAGCAGATGAGTACTGAGTACTTAGTGTGCCAGGAATAGGCTACAGTTCTGCAAATTCACATTTGAAGGCAACACGGTGCCTGCTCAACATATGCTCGAAGATACTCTACATATATTTCTTTGTTATGTTGAGACTGCATTTGTCCAGTACATCCAGATATCGAGCCAGCAACCTCCTTCTGCCATAAATTACATGAGGAATATAGAGAGCTCTGTTAGTTACTCAACAAATTTGTTTCCCTTCACCTGTATAGCCCATGGACTGCTTGGAGAGTCTGGGCCCATGGACTTATTTCTGTGCTGCTTCTGTGAGTGTTAATAGCAGTTCTGAGGGCTGTGCTAAAAGTGGGCCATGTGAACTTTTGTTGACTTTCTTCTCTGTCTATACCCGAGGAAATGATACAGGAAAGGAAACCTTGCCCTAGTTCCAAGAGCTGTTTATACCCTAGTCTTTGACTTAATACGTGCCCTTGAAGTTATGCCTCCTACTACCACGTCACTGCCTGGCCAGAGGAATGGGAATGGGAATCAGGGGAAAGTTTAGAGAAACCTTACTTTTCCACTAGCAGTCTACACTGTATAGTAAGCTCTGTGAGAAAAGCAAGTACAATAGGCAGGGGGCATAAAGGGTCCAGATCACGGAAAGTGTCAAAGAGAAGAAAATGCTAGTGTTTAAAGAGGGAAAGTAGTGAGCTTCCAGAAGGAGAGGGAAAGTTCACTCCAGTGGGGGAAGTTCACTCCAGCAGGGTGATCAGCATCAGTTCAGGTGAGAGTAAAGCTTTATTTTAGTATTGACAGCTTCATATTTATGTTATATGTCTTTCCTTCGATGTGACAGAATTTTGATAACATAGAAATTCATTTTCGTTCAGGGAGAAGCAGGATTACCAGGAGCTCCAGGCTCACCTGGTCAGAAAGGGGATAAAGGAGAACCGGTAAGACACCACCTAACTGTTGGGGTAAAAGTGCTTTGTTCAAATCTGACTTAAAAAATGTGTGGACATCATTGTTGTATGTCCCGGACAAATGCATATTTCTGTAAAAGACTCAAGAGTTATATTTAAATGCTTATAAGTGAAATAAGGAAGACTGCACAAGTATTCAAGTCTGCTTTTGAGTTCCTGTTGAAGGCAGGCTTAAAAATAGAACAGACCTGGAAACCAAAATCTTTGTACCTGAAAATTACAGGCAAAATTGTGATTCAGCAAAATTTATTTTTTTGGTTGTACTCTAGCCTTTGTTCCCAGCTCTTCTCCAAAATTCTTGTTTCTCTTGTCTGCTGACAGGTCCTCCCACTTCCTTAATGCCTTACCATTTATTTGAAAGGGCCACTTTTTATTGAATACCTTTTCTGTGTAAGGCATGTCACTGGGTGTTGAGAACAAGATACATTCCCTGTTCTCAAAGATTCTATATACATAGTGCAATCCTATGCCTCCAAATCATATACAGTAAACCAATGTTACCTCAATATTACCTCATATATTGTTACCTCAATATTAACTTCAATGTTAACAATGTTAACCTCAATGTTAACCTCAATGTTACCTCAATGTTACCTCATATATTGTAAACCAATGTTACCTCAACAACAAAATAAAAATGGAATCTTTCCATTAAAAAAATACATCTAAAAGGAGGTAGGGGGCCATTCAAGGACATGCATGTTAGATATGGAAGAATCATACATATCCTGAGAGAATCATTGGGAAGCTTGGGAGAGTGTCATGGAGGAGATAGTGAGTGAGCTGGCGCTCCAAGGAGCTAATGCTAGTCAATATCCCATGCTTAAAATTTTATCTTTCCTTTTCTCCCCACCCCATCGAAATCCCATCATAATCATCCTGTTTCCCATCCTGTTATGTCTTTAGCCAACTAGGTAAATTAATTTATGCTAAGATTAGGAATTGATTTTTTTTTTCTTTCCAAGGTGAAACAGATTTAATTTCCTTTCATGCATTAACTTGGGAGTCCATGATTCTAAATTAGTTTACCTAACCTATTTGGTTTCTTTACTTTGAAGGTAGGAGACTGATGTCTGAGCAATGATTGATTCCTCAGTTGCACAACAAGCTTCAACAAAGACATCCATAGTCATTTGTCTCCCAGAGGGTGGTCTGTCCTTTGTATCTTACATAGGAACTTCAAGTACCTTGGCAGGTGTTTGAAAGAGAGTTTTTTTGAGGTGGGAGGAACATTTTTATTTTTTCCCTGTAAATCACATTACTTGGGATACTTTTGCTTTCAATATCATTATATGAAAACTTTAAATAATTAATAATATCTAGTTCTAAGGACTAAGTTGATCAAACTGAAAATAAATCATAATAGCAATAGCTAGTATTTATTGAATGTTGACCATGTGCCAACCACTAATAGTGCTTTAGATAGGCCATCTTTTTGATCTTTATAATAGCACTTCATATTAGGTATCAGTGTTTTATACATGGAAAAACTGAAGTTAAAAGAGGTAAATTATTGTGCAAGGCCACATAGTAATGGTCAAGATGGGATCTGAACCCAGACTATTTGACTCCTATGGCCTTCTCTTAACCAGCATCATGTTGAGTGTTGCTCTGTATTTTAAAATCACTTCTGTATCACTTATCTGTGTTTTTTTGACTAGAACACATGCTCTTCTAATACCTTATTTTATCCTTACAGCTTTATAAATAATGTCAATCTAATATTTTTATCCTCACTTTGCTACTGAGAGAACCAAGTGTAGGTAAAATGCTATGCCCAAGATAGGGGCCTCACTGGTGGCACAGGGGTTAAAGACAGCGCTATCAAGCTATTGCCAGCCATTGCAGCACTGAGTTCCATCCCTGGCAGGCCAGGGAGCAACCCATATGATGCAGCAGACCTCTCCTGCCTCATCTGCTGCTCCCCTCAGCAGTCTATTTTAGTTGATCTGCCTGTTCTGCTCCCTACTCCCTCTGGTGATTCCTTTCACCCCCCACACCTCTGACTTACACCCTACTTCTTGTATGCATAAATAAATAAATCTTTTTAAAAAATGCTATGCCCAAGGTAATGTAATTAAGAGGACTCTGAGGAGAAAAATCTCTGATTAATTCCAACTCTTCATTAAGTTATTGTTATTAACTATTCATTAAGTTGTTATTCATTAAGTTATTGTTATTGTAAGAAAACGTGTGCTAGGAGCTGGAGTTACAGCAGTAATGAGAAGGCATGGTTTCTCATCGATGTTTCAATGATGCTTTCATTGCAGCACTAACTAGTGATGATTCATTCAGGAAACCTTCCTTCTACCTTCAGGAATGATGACCAGTAGAAAAGAAAGAAATGAGTACAAATGATAATTATTAGTAAATTTGTTGTGTGCCAAATCTGTAAAATAAGCAAAAATACATCCCAGACTTCTAAAGCATTATGTAATTTCCCACTTATGTATTTTTAAAGTATTAACATTTGTTTTAGCATTCAGACTATGAAAAATTCATAATGGCAAGAGTTTTTGTGGCAAGGCAAAAACAGTTGGGATGAAATAAGTTGATAACTAACAAACAAAACAAATAATCAGCATCCTTTCATTTTTTCAATACCTGCACTGACATTTGATTAATTCAGCATACCTTTGCCATGTAAATAAGACTTCAAATGACTGTAGCTGTGAATGTCTTCAGCTTTCCTGGTACTTGTAATAACCCTAGATGCATTGTTTCATTTTAATGAGCTGATGATGAGTCTATTTCTATTCCTATTGTACTGTGTAATACTGCAACTTCAGTGTGCAGTAAATAAAGATGATTTTCCTCTGTTTTTGAATTTGGTATATAATTTTCATTATGAGAGCTGGTGCACAATATAATGCCTGTCTGGCTTGAAGATGGAAAGTCATTTTGCTCTAAGGTGTATTGAATAGTTAATTTTGTGAAATGATTGAAATGCAGTGTTACCTAGGGGACCAGAAATTCTTCTCAAGGTTTTCCTTTTGGTCTGTAAGACCAAGATGTATTTGGAGGGGTGGGGGGAAAAGGGACTAGAACAGTAGATTAGGAGTGCTACTTTGGGAACTAACCCACTTGGGAATGAATTCTGTTATCTTCTTACTTGCTTTGAAAGTGGCCCCTACTAACACCTACTCAATAGTTTATTTTGAAGAAGAAATTCAATATGTATATATAATGCAATCCCAGATACTGGCATATTCTAGATACTCAACAAATATATTTTCTCTACTTTCCTACCTACAGTGTAATTGTTCAGGTGTTGAAGGAGAGGTATAAATAATCCTTTTAGGTGTTTCATATGTTTCATATGTATTTTGAGAAAATGAAGAGATTTTCATTTGTGAGATAATAATTTAGAATGTTTGATTGATTGGATGTTTTAGTTTATAAAAATCTTGAGTTGTTGTATATACTTAAATAGATAGTAATAATTTATCAATAGTTAATTTCTTCAAAAAATCACTCAATAATTTAAATATTTCATCAAACATGTATCTTTTGTCCCCAATGTTATTAGCAAAATGTTTCCTGGATATGGTGTAAAGAGATATTCTTGTTTTATCATGCTTAGATAATGTTGATTAGGAACCATCCAGAGACAAATTTAACTTCCTTTCTCTTATTAACTATCAGGTATATGTTACTGATCAGGTAAAATTTTACTTTTGTCTCAGTGAGATAAAATGAGAAAAATTTTGAAACTCTAACCTCCAAATCTTTTTTTTTTTTTTTTTTTTTTTTATAATTTTTTTTTTTTTTTTTATATATATAGAGGCATGTTTTCTTTCTTTCTTTATTTATTTGTTTGTTTTTGTTTATACATGCACTGGGTACAGTCAGAAGCGCGGGAGGGTGAGAGAATTCACCAGAGCCAGAGCGGGGAGCAGAGCAGGCAGAGGGACCGAAGTACACTGCTGAGGGGAGCAGCGGGCGGCAGGAGAGTTCTGCGCGCCATGTGGGACCCTCCTCTGGTGGCCGGGGAGCAGCCGGGGATCGAGCCGGCGCCGCAGAGGCCGCGGGCAGCTTTGCAACCCAGCGCTCAACCGCTGCGCCACCGGGGAGGCCCTAACCTCCAAATCTTTTTCTAATTATGTATTACTCAGTACAGTATTTCTAATGGTGTTAAGTTTTAAGAATTCTTACTTTAATGTGGAAGCTTTATAAGAGCAAATTTTACTTTTATTTATGCCCATGCACTGAGTTACACAACTACTGTGAATAATGTAAATCCTGTCCCACAGGATCTAACCTCAGTGATGGCTTCTTTCTCTCTCAAGATAAACACCAGTGTTCTAACAATGGGCTATACCACCTCTCGCATTACTCCCTCTATCAGCTCCTACCCTCTCTTCTGGTTCATGCCTGCTCCAAGGTCTTTGTACCAGGTCTTTTATAAATACTTGGAATTTTTTCCTATTTGTCCATTTGGCTCTCTCTTTTCATCATTTATCAATAGAATTTTGCTCAGAAATAAATTTTTTTATTGAGGTAACATTGGCTTAGAAATCACTTAAAAATAGAAAAAACCTTTCCAGGAATCTCTATGTAAAAAACATCCTTCATTCCACCTCTATCTTCTTTTCTTACCATGTTTGTTGTCACCTGATATGTTATGATTATGCATTTATTTATTTCTTCACTAAGAATGTGAATTCTGTGAGCATCATGCACAGATTAGCATAAAAATATGTTGAATGAATTAATGAATGAATACTACACTTCAAGACCGATCTAAATCATCAACTTAGCTATGTCTAGAATTTATAAATTCTATGCCCCAAAAGCCAAGTACACTGCCAAGTGAGGCAGAGTCAGCTTTCAATGAAAGTTAAATAAGCTAAATCATCAGAGAGCTGTTATGTCACTTTTGTTCTGTCATACCTTTTTCCTTTAAAAAACAAAAATCCGGGCTTCCCTGATGGCACAAGGGGTTAAGCAGCAACCTATGAAGCTATCAGCAGCCACTGCAGCAAGAGTTCAATCCCCAGCCAGGAAGCTACCCACATGGCACAGCAGACCTCTCCTGACTTGCCCGCTGCTCCCCTCAGCTGTGTATTTCAGCACATCTGCCTGTTCTGCTCCCCACTCTGTCTCTGGTGAATCTTCTCACCCCCCACACCTCTGGTCTGTACCCCAGTTCTTGTCTGCATAAATAAATCTTTTAAAAAAAACCAAAAAACAAAAATCCTTTTCATATAGTGATTAGCTTTAGTTTGATATTACATTAATATTTGGAAAAAAGCCACAATTTTGGTATGATTTACTATTTGCCTTTATGTGCCTATTTTCTCATCCATACTGTGATGGTTCACTAATTTGTTTTACTGTGTTTTTACCCCCATAATGTTGACCTATCACGGAGCAAGATGGCTTGAATTTCAAACCAATACTGGTTGTATCTGAGCAAGTATTCAGATGTGATCAATAGTCTATATCGGGCACCTAATCAAACCATTCTAACCATTATCATCAGTCCAAGACTAAACTCTGTCTGACATTATTTGAAATAATAATTAATACTTTTCTTTCATTCAGACTCAATTATTATAATTTTCTGAATCTTTTAATTCCCTTTTCTTAGCAAGTATACTTAGCAACCTAATTACTTAGCAACCATATTACTTTCTCAGATCTTTAAGACCTTTGCTAATACCCTCACCCACTCCAGAACTGAAATCCTCTCAAGAGTTTTGTAAAATACAGCTCATTTCAATATTCCTTAACCTAAGGGGGAGTGTGATCTGTGTTCTATTTTGGAAATAATTTTCCAGTTTATTTTTGTTATTATGTTCCACATAGCCAGTTAATTCCCCTAAAGTATAGGTTTAATGAAATTATTACTTTGCTGATACACTTTTAGAGAAAATCAACAACTTAAAATGGGATAAGTTAACTTATTTGTTTCTATTGTCAAAAACTTTGGTATTGATTCCTTTCTGTTATCCACTGTCCAGTTTTACTATGGAAATATCCATTTTGAGCAATCTAATGTGTTAACCCAGAGCTACCAGTGAGTCCCCTTATTTTCTTTCCATTTTAACTTACTTGCTTGCCCACTGTAAACAATACCAGTAAAAAGGCAATTTTTAAAAGAGAGAATATTGTCCCTTAGTAATAACCTCAGAGGTTAAGTTTTAATATTATGCTTTTGACATTTTGCCTGTGTCAATGTAAGGAATTTTTATTTCTCTTTCCTTATACAATATATATTGGATTAATTGATAGGTGCTTTTTAAAAATCAGTTTTACCCAGTGTAGGGGCAGGAGGGACACAGCGCAGGATCCCTATAATCCGAGCAGACAGGTGAAGGAGGAGCCCAGGATCCCTCGGTGCCTTTTTCAGGCTTTTATTGGAATTTTACTGGGTATACATCAGGCAGGGGTTCTGGGGGGGCCAGAAGGCTGGCAGGCCTCCTAGCCCCCAGCGACTTCACTCTTCCTGCGCTCTCTGGCGTTCTCTCATGGTCTCTGCTTCTCTCTTGCTTGTTCTCCTTCTGGTGGTTCTGTGCCCGTGATGCCACCCTTAAAAGCCCAGTCTCAGCCCAGGTGTACCCACCTACGTATGCCCACACCCCACTCCAGGTGCCCACCATCGGGCATGCATTCAAGACCGCAGGGATCCATCATCAATCCTAATGGTGGGAGGGCAGAAAAGCCTGACAATCGTTTACCCTACGCTCAGTCTGATATAATCTCATCTAATTATAGCAGTTGAATTTGAAGCTTACTTGTGCGGGGTGGGGGGGGTACTTGTGTGTCTTAAATCTGAAATAAACAATGTTACTGTAATGATGGAATTATAGACTGATACAGTTATATATGTTTCTTAATCTCTACCAAAAATTTGTAATAAACTCATTCAAAAAGTTTGTTATTCTGCACTTTTCAAGGAGAATTTTATTAGGCTAAATTTATAACAGAACTACCACAGCAGATATAGATGACCCATCAACTTCATTGATCAGGTTTTTCTAGTTTTGGTGGAAGAGCAGGGAAGTTGACAGGATTGAGTTAGTTCATGGCTTCTGAAAGATATAACAAAAGGTCAGAAACACTGAATTAAAACACACACAGGAATCTTAAGAGTCTGAAGTTTCATGACTTACTTGAATTGAAAGAACTAGGTAAGAGGTAGCTTTTAACTCATTTAAACTAATTTCTTGTATCAGTGGAGCAACAGAATCATTCCTTAATGTGGATTCTATAAAAGAAATAATAAAGGTGAATGTTTGTGGTGGAGAATGCCTAGTTGTAGTTTTGATTAGCACCTTAATATTTATTAATATTTTCATAATTTGTGAATTGTCAAAATATAGTTTAATGACTTGTGGGTAATGTAAAGAAGGAACTTGGGGCACAAACTTAAGTGCAAAAGCAACTTATCCATGAACTAATAACAGATTCTCTTGGACAATGTTGGAAATTAATACACCTTCAAACAATCTAATGAGCATTTCTGTATTTTAGGGTGCAGTTGGTATTAAAGGTGAAATTGGTGCTCCTGGAATTCCTGGGGTAAAGGTAGGTTGATTTGATATTTGATTAAACTTTGTGTTTTTTTTTAAATTAAGTTCTGTCAGATAGGAGGAAAAATATATGCAACAAGTCTGATAGTTTAGGGGCCTGCAAACTATGGTCCTGCAGCAAGGCTACCAAAAACTTGCTGTATGATTTGGTAAATAAATTTTTACTAGAACACAACTACATTCATTGGTTTCACATTTTCTAAGCTGTTTTTGTTCTACAAAGCAATATTAGGTAACTGTGGCAGAAATCATATGGTCATTGGACTTATTCTAAAGGCTTCAAGACTTCTTAATTTTACTATTTTAAGTGTGACATAGTATCTTTTCATACATATTTTACTAAGGACATAAATACTCTATATGTATATACATTTAAAAATACAGTACTACAGCAAATACTGTAAATAAAAATATAAGAAATGTTTCCATCCTTCAGTAAAATAAATATGTATCTCATTAAATGGTTAATTTTCATGTTGTTTTCTCTAATACTTGTAAATATGAGTCTAAATATGATTTTCTCCCCACTGTTTGAAAGTGTTCGATAAAATCATTTGTAAGCCAAAATGGCAGGGTAGAGGCAATTGCCATGGATTTACATAGAAAATTTTGAGTGTTCCCAGACCCCCAAATAGTCCACAAATTCATACTAAAAAAACACATAAAATCTAAAATAACATTAACATATGATAAAAACAGGAATGATATGATAAGCAAACAACCTGTATATAAAGCAGTTCCTGGGGAAGGAACTTGAGGGTGCCACTCTCGCTGCAGGGGTGTGAAGAGCTTGTAGCATGACTGCTGCAAAGCAAATGCTGAATGCTGTTTGCCTTTTGCTGTATAAGCGGAAATCCACTTCGGATTTATCTCAGTGAAAACAGAGACTAATATAGTTCTTTCATAAAAGTGAAGTGTTATAACTCGAACTTTCAAAAAGCAGGGTATACTGGGATGAATTAATCATGAGATTAGTGTTGCAGTTCAGCATTTTAGTCAGCTTTTATAGAAGCTTGAAAAAATTATACTATTTGTAACTTACACTGCAATTACCATGTCTTATTTTTCACAGTATATATGTGTGTGCATACATGTATATATATACATTATATTTAACTCTATGTGTATTTCACTAATATATAAACTTAAATTGCTGATTTGTTAGGTTCATCTGTTGATGCTAAGAAAATTCTCTTCTTCACTAAATAAGTTTAGTTTAAATGTCTTTAGTTGATCTAGCTGTAGTAATTATTGAGTCCACTTTGCCTCATTATTTAAATGACCATGACCCTTGTGGCTATTCACCTAAAGTTGTCACAGAGTAACTGAAATGGTAGAAGGTTCAGACATTTTTTGAGTCCTTTTTAAATATATCTCTTCTTTTATATAACTGCTTCGTTGCTGCTGCTTTTTGTCTTTTAGAATTTAGTCAGGTTGATATACAAATTCCTTACTCCTGTAGTGTACAAATGTTGGACTAGTAATAATGAACTTTGATGAACAATGATACCTTGTCAATGTTTGTTTGGGCTTCTAAACTCTTATGTAAGCTTGCTGATGATGTTAATTTTTAAAGATTCTTTATCATAAATGAAAGGTCCTTCAAACACTTGTTCAAATATCTGATTTCTTAATAGTATCATTTTCCCTGGGGAATGCATAAGGAGGAGAGGGGGGGAAATCAATCATCAACTCCTAAAGTAGTAAAGTAAATCCAAATTTACTTTACATACCTATTCTACTCGTCTCTTCCTAAAATACATCATAAAACTTTTTATTTTGGATCACTGAGATTTTTCAAATTATTTTGAATATGGGAATATTTTTATATTTTCAAATCAAACATAGAATCATTGAAAGGCTTCACCATAAAGTATATCATTGGACTTAGAGTAAAACTTTATTTATTTTTTAAATTTTTTCATTTTTTTAAAAGATTTATTTATTTATTTATACAAGAACCGGGGTGCAGGCTAGATGCGCGAGAGGGTGAGAGGATTCACCAGAGACAGAGCAGGGAACAGAAAAGGCAGACTGATGAAATACACTGCTGAGGGGAGCAGCGGGCACGACAGGAGAGTTCTGCCACGCCATGTGGGACCCTCGCCGGCCGGCTGGGATCGAACTGGCACTGCAGAGGCTGTGGACAGCTTCATAGCGCGGTGCTCAATTGCCTGAGCCACCCGGGGAGGCCCAAACTTTATTTTTTTTAAGATTTTAATTTTTATTTATGTATACATGAACTGGGCCAGAGGTGCAGGGGGTGAGAGTATTCACCAGAGACATAGTGGGGAGCAGACCAGGCAGATCTACTGAAATACACTGCTGAGGAAATCAGCAGGAAAGACAGGAGAGGTCTGCTGCTCCATGTAGGTCAGCATCCTGGCTGGGGTATCAAACTCATTTCTAGTGGCTGATGATAGCTTGATAGAGCTGAGACTTTAACCCCTGCACCACCAGGGAAGCCCTAAAGTAAAACTTTAATTAATATAAAGGAATATACCAGTTGTTGATAAACTTGTTGGACATAGTAATTCTGGAAACTAGAAGTTTCAGCCTTTTGAGACCCATTTAGTCAAAATGTCAACTGAGCGAATCTTGGAAAATCAATGAGCAGTATCTGTTGGAAAACAAGTAATGTTCTCCAGGGAACTTAAAAGCTAATGTGATAAAAGGGGAGCTGTATTTATGGTGTTCCAAAACCAATGCAAATTATCCTAGTACCTGCTCTCACCTGTTTCCTCAAGCAGTTTTCTTCCGGGTCTGATTTACTTGAGTTGTTCTTAAAGAGCCTCACAGGCAATGAGAGAATTCACAAGGCTTCCAGTGGTGCTAAACATAGCTACAAATAGTGCTTGAATCCTACTTTCATGCATCTTCAGGGATCCTACTCAGTGACTTAACACCCTCCCATTATCTGTGGAAAAAAGCAAGTCTTTGCCGTATTCTCTCCTCAAGGTCAGTCACTGGTGCTCTCAGGTCTGTTCTAACTTGTCATTTCATTTAGCTGTTTAAGGGACTAATACTCATGAGTGAAGAAATGCCACCAAAAGTGTGTTTTTCTCATTTTTATAATTCACAGATTACCATTAATTTAAAATAGCTCTAATGGATTTACATAAAATGAAAACAAGAAAGCTATTATGTTATCTGACATGCGTGGTTCCTAAGTTTTAAATATTTGTCTCTGATGAAGATATATCAAAATTTTTTAATTTTTAAAATATCAGAATTTTAATAGCATAGTTGTAAAGATGAGTTCTTATGCTTAAGACAAAATAATTCCATTGTTATGTGATGAAAATAAATTCATTATTTTTTTCTCTGTAAAATTTCCAAAGAAAAATGATTGCTCTTAAAGTGGTATATAGCTTGCAAGCACTGTCTCCCATGCTGACTTCATGTGACTCCATGCATTTTCCAGATTGCTCAGACAGCCCCCAAGTTTAACTTTGAATCTACTACTCAGCATTGGTAATTCTTTGGGATTCTTTTTCTTAACTGTAGGTGCATAAAAGTTACATTAAAAGATGAAATAAAGGGCCTCCCCGGTGGTGCAGTGGGTTGAGCGCCGCACTGTGAAGCAGTCCGTAACCTCTGCAGCACAAGTTCGATTCTCGGCTGGTCAGGGAGAAACCCACATGGCACGGCAGACCTCTCCTGCCTTGCCTGCTGCTCTCCTCAGCAGTGTCTTCCGTCTGTCTGCCTGTTCTGCTCTCCACTCTGTTTCTGGTAAATTCTCTCACCCTCCCGCACCTCTGACTGTACCCCAGTTCTTGTATAAATAAATAAATCTTAAAAAAAAAAAAAAGATAAGGGGCCTCCTTGGGTGGCGCAGGCAGTTGAGTGCAGCGCTGTGAAGCTGTCCACAGCCTTTACAGTGCTGGTTTGATCCTGGCCAGCCGGCGAGAATCCCACATGGCGTGGCAGACCTCTCCTGTCTCACCCGCTGCTCCCCTCAGCAGTGTATTTAGTCTGCCTATTCTTCTGTTCCCTGCTCTATCTCTGGGGAATCCTCTTACCCTCCCTCGCTTCTGGTCTGTATCCTGGTACATGTATGCATGAATAAATAAATCTTAAAAAAAAAGATAAAATAAAGATGAATTGTCTCACTGAGAATAAGACACTTTATACAAAGTGCCACAGGGCATATATCTTAGGTATGATATTCTCAAGGTTGTTTTTTTTTATTTTTTAAGGCTTAATATTTAAACTCGAAAACTGATTTATATTAATGAAGAATATTTTGAGCAGTGTAGAGTAGAATTTGTATATATTCTGTACTTTTCTTTACGTCCAATGTGATACAGTAATAAATTAAGTAATTTGCATATAAATCCCATTACTCTAAAATAAACCTACACTTTGAAGTTTGGTTAGGTGATAGCAGTAAATTTTTTTTTAGTCAAAACTCTAAAGTATTAGTTTACTGAGGCGGCATTTTTCTTCTGAAGCCCAGGAGGAAAGTAGTACATTAAACAACATTATTTTATGAAATCAATTTATAGAGTATGGAGTCATGGAGACTTTAAGAATGAAGAACTGTAGCATTCAATTATATTCATTTGTAATTATAATACTTATCACCTTGTACAGACTTGCACTAGGCATTCTATCCTAATAATATACAGCCTTTCTGCTAAAACCCCAGAAAAAAATAGTTGTCCCCTTTACATTTATTCAGTGCAGCTAAGGTTTTGCCTGAGAGATTTGGTAAAATTCTATTGTGAATTGAAAATCTATTCTATATATAGCAAGTGTTATTACTTCTTACTCACTGTTGACTTTTGATCAGCTTAGACAGAAACCACTGTTGGGCAAGGAAGTCCAATGGTCCAGTTTATAAGAGTAGTGAATGACTCAGTACATCAGATAGCATGTACACATACACATGCACACACACATACACATGCACACATGTGCTAACAACCTACATCTTCATTGTATTCAATGAGAAAATTAAATGGATAATTCAGACACTGGGAGCGAAGCCTG